AGGACGTAAAACATATTAATTACTCACGTTCGAATGAAATACGAATATTAAATGCAGAAATACACAGCCCTTATTTCTATCCTTGTTCGAATGAAGAATTATTTTTTCATTCAAAATTTAATTCAAGGACGTAACTTCTCATTTTCTGCAGGCTTCAGATAAAACTTCGCGGTAAAAATAGTTTCTTTCTTCACTACAGTTCCAAATTAGTGTCCTCAAAATAAGTAATAATTTTTAAAGAATTCTCAAAAGACGTCAGAGCAGGACGTCTGCCGGCAGCTTCACGCTGGCGGCTCAAATGTGTGGGCGACATCACTCTAGCTGTCACAAACTATACTGCTTGAAAAGTTTCATTCGGAGCACCAAATGTTCCATTCTTTTTAGGTCCATCTTGTATCGTGCATTGCATATCACATAGCACATAGCTCATGTTGTTTCTGATTACGAAGAAAATCTGTATAATGTTTTTCTCGGAGCTTAACTAGAGGTTAGGATTGATACGAAGACAGCCAAAGAAATTCTTGTTCGGTGAGGCTTCAATTTATCATATGGTATTGGTGTGACTCAGAATAAAACTGTGCGGGCAACATTATTCCGTTCCTCACTTGGATAATTTCATTTGCAGGATAAAAAATATAATGTTCCTTTACTATTGTACCGTTATTTGCCGTCTAAAAATGTAATTAAAGACAGTCTATTAATTGTACAGGATCATAAATAAATATAATTAATTCAAAATACCTACAGACTTCTGATAAATGAATATCATTTGAATTTCTCCTAATAATGTTCGTTGTTCAAGTTCCAAGGCTTTATAAGTAAGTGTAAGCAAGATCCTAACAGATGGTAATTCTGTCATTCTTTTCGCTAAAGCTTACATTTGAGAAAAATGTGACTGCAAATCATATTGGCGATTACATTGTTTGAAACATGAAAGATACAGGAGAAGAAGATAAACTTCTTCTAAAGAGAATGAAAATGCTTGCTGTCGTTTGAGCTTCCTTACGTTCACTTTTGTGGTTGGAATTGAAAACGGGAGCGTGGAGAACTCTGGTCGTACCCTTGCATATCAGTCAAGTAGGCAGCTAATAGTCATGTATTCAAAAATTTATGTCAGCACCCATACTAAAAGACTAAAATGTATTCAATTGAAATGAAATTAGCTTAAGACAACCAAAGAGACTATCGCTTTCATTTTCAACCCTCTTCATCCCACGCAACTTGAATGTTTTCAATAAGAAAAAATTTGCAAGAACCCTGAAACAGCAACAGAATTATTTATTATGATTTGTGTACATTGGTTTTTAATCAACCTTCATCAAATCAAGATTATTTTTCTCTTCGTTCCCTCTCTCAAGTTTCACAAGATTACCAAATATCTTTTAACACCCTCAACCACAGCCACTTTTGATCATTTCGACAAACCCACAATTGCTAGTGTTAATTTCTCGTCAGTTCTGCCATACTCCCCACCATTACTCCGAGCCACCTCACTCATTCTCAATAACCTCTAGCATAACTCGTCTTAGCTCTTGCAAGACTCACATGCTGGCAACTAGCGCTGCGAAGCTTCTTTCACATCCTATCAAAAATACAACACACATCATCTTTCCCCTCATTCCACTAGTATGTACACCTTGCCTTCACACAATAAAAATATAAGGTCTTTACCTCTGCAAATTATGTTACGAGTACATGCTTGCACTGCGTTAAAGTCCAGAAGTGTATATCACGAAATATACGATTTAAAAAAAATCCGTGCTCTCTTAATCACTGGCCAAGATTTCAAATGTAACACGTCATTTCCGAGAAAAAAAACTCGTTTTTATCGCGAGACGTTTACTTGACAGGAACAAGCTCGCTTCCCGGCGTATTTACCCACCAGAGGCATCTCTTGCTGGCAGGTATAAGGCTAAATGTTCATTACATCGTTCTGCTAATATACCAAGCCTGGACCTCCGGCTCAGCGTAAAGGGCATCAGATGACGCCAGTCATATTTAATGTTATTTGTCCAGCAGCAGTCGACATGGCAGGGCAAGTGTCATCTCCGTAGTGCAAACAAGCTCGTTTGCGCAAAGCCCTCGCATTGTGTGCCCGTAAGCAAACGCTGCTACGCATTACGGTAACTTTTAAATAGCAATTACTTATAACTTGAACACTAATGTATATTATGGAACAAGTTACCATTTCCATTAGATTTTGTTGAATTTGATGGTTAATTTACAATTTATACTCGTCATTAATTATACCTCATCACGCAAACTTTTATCACATACCTTCTAGACATAAATATACCGTTTTCATGAATTAGGCAAATAGAATGAACTCAATAAATTTTTAGTAGCCAATTGGACCTTACAGTGATTTGAAATTAAATATTTCCTGTTTTCCAATCCGCAAACGTCTTTGTCAGCAGTGGTTTTTCATTCATAATTGTTACCGTTCGCCAGGCTTTTTTCGTGAATTATTTCACAGACGCTTATGCAACATTAATTTAGAATGAAATGTTAAATTATTCATAACAATTTATATTCTCCTGAAAAGTTACATTCTATAATCCTATCAAACGATATCGAATTACGTATTTAATATTTTTTCTTTTGCATTTATATTACATACCGAAATGTGGACTCAGATGGAACCAAACTATGCAATATTTTCAGATGCTACTATCTAATTCAACTTGTTTATTTAATAATTTCAATTTAATTGCCTCAATAGATGAAAAATTGCAAATTTTTATGCAACTCCTAAGTGAGAAATAACATAATATATCACCATTTCAAGAAAATTATTCGAAAAACACGAAAATTAAGAGATAATGAGTTCATTAATTAATCTTGAACGCGTATTTGCTGTTGAACTTGTCAAACCAACGCGAAGAGGAAGTACTTTCCGCAAATTTTCTTAAATTGCGCGGAAATTTCGAAGTTTGGCCTCAGAGGAAATGCTAAACTATAAAGGGAAAATGATTAAACTGAAAATTTCAAATTAAAACTACTCAGGGAAAATACTAAACTGAAAATTTCATATCAGAAATAAAACGCCAAAAGGAACCAATAAATTTCCTAAGACAAAATCATCTAGGAAAGAGCAAGAAGTTGCAACTTTGCGAGAAAAATAACCTTATTGGTTCCGAAAAATCTCGAGTGAGAGAAAGCCATCGATGACGTTCCTGTCTGCAGCGTTCCAAACACCTGGCAATAAATCAAGCGACTGTTCTCAACGACTATCGAATTTGCAAAGAATTCCGTCGGGTTTTTTGATGTGGTCCAAAATAATCCATTGCTCTCTTAGACAGTGGTTCAATATTTAAATCGTAAAAGTATGTTGAGTTTAAGTTATTTTCGTTTTGATAGAATCATTCTATATTTTTGGGCGCGGAGTTGAATACCTGCTGAATATTTGAGCAAGTCTAATTTCAGTATGTATTTATGATCATTAGTTTTACCTTAGAGATCAAGTGGGTCGTGACTTTGGATTAATACAATTCCTTTTCAAATACATATACAATCGCTGCTATTTATATCGCATGGAAGAAGATGGGCATTAGTATTAAAAAAGTCACTAAATTGGGTAAAAATTAAATTAATATTAGTCCTGCATCTAATTTCCAGCGAGAAGAGTGTCTATAGTTTCTACTACTGTATGATGTTGAGTGCTACTTTCTTAGTTACGACTTCACCGCTACTTTTTGTTAAGTGAAATATGGCGAACAGTCGGTCATCGGCAAAAATACTGCATCACTTCTGGTCATCTGTCCCGTGCTTGGCGCACGAACGCTGGTGTGCGTCGCGTTGTCTAGCCGCATTGATGTTGTTGTAATCGGTGATAGGTCAGTTTTTCCGGGCCACTGGTAGTTCTACGACCATCACTGGCTCGCTGACCTGCCAGAAGCGCCGGTGTTGCGACACGACTTGGTCACATCTTGCATGATGCAAGCAATTGCTGCTGCTTAGTCGTCGCAGCCTCCTTTCTTTGGAGCAAAGAAGCAATGAAATTATATAAGAATTTTTTTATATATATATTACATTAGTCTTTGTAGTACAAGAAATGTTGCAAAACATACTTTTTGCCAAGTTTTATTTCTTCTTTCATGATAATATATTTTTTTAAATAATGAATCATTCATGGGTAGGTACATTTCAGACAAAATAAATTATTAATACTTTCTTTCTTAGAGATTAAGATCAGCAAGTTCTACTGGTGGGCTAAAAGTCGCTGACCAATATTTTAAAATATTTGTTATTTCTTAATATTTTTTATTGTCATGAAAATTTCAATTTTTTCAGATCCTGAAAATTAATCATGGAGAAATTCAGTACCGTGCATTGTACACAAATTGTGAAATTTTTACTATAAAAATCCAGGCTCAATAATTCAAACCCAGAGAGCTTATCGAAAGCATTTTAATGTTAGAGACAACAACCACAAGCAACCACAAGATTGTTCCGACAAGCTGCAATCTTTAATGGAGCTAAAGGAAAACATCACTAGAGAAATAAGAGAAATAAGCCCAGAAACTTTGAAAAGGTTATGGCAGAAGTAATCGAAATTGCTGCAATTTGTGAAGCAGATGGAAGGCAGTTGCAGGATGTTATTTTTCACGCTTAACGATAAAGTTTCTAAAGTTTATTAAAAGTAAATTAGTGATGATTATAAAATTAAATTTTTTATAATAATAAAATTAAATTTGTGATAGAAAATCAATTTCCATCGCCTTGACTTTATGATACTAAAATTTAAACATATAACTGAAAAAAAGTTATTTACAATTGAAATGGTTCTGTGACTTTCGGCCCACCCTGTACTATTTTGCGGTAATTAGGACATCGTGTATTGAGTATTTTGTACCGAAACCGAACATAAAACTAACTGTGCAGTGTTCACTTGTTTTTTTTTCAGATGTATTGCAGTTATTAACTACTTTTGTGTTAAACAGTACAATTTTGGCTTGTTCTGCTCAATCACTTTACATAAACTGACCAGTGACCATGCTCAGTAGCACCTTGATGTTATAGCAAACCTGATCCTTTACTGAGTCATGCACTAATCAAACCACAAGGACTTTGAATAAGACGCAGTGAGCGCAATGGGTCGCGGGGCGTTGGTTTGGTGCGCAGGCGTTGGAGGAGTTTGGTGCTCCATAATAGCCACGGCTTTACTGCTGGCTGCCCTGGTCTCTCCTTACTGGGCAGTCACGACTGAACCCATTCTCCTTGATGACCCTCATCCTTACTACCCAGACATGTCATTTCGCTTGAATCACCATGCCTTTACGTTTGACAACCAAAAGCTTCACCAACACCAACCTCTTCGTAGCCACGGTTTCCTTTTCCACCCAGAGACATATCCAGTCAATCAGCAAATGTATCGGCCATTGGACGCCTATTCCATGACAACTTTACCGTCACAACAGCAACTGGAATCGTCCAATCGTGACGCGAATAGTTACTTCTCGGCCGGTGAAAAGGCGGACATTGAGGACCAACACCAAAATTTTAATTATAAAGAAGATTACCTGCAAAAATTCTCATCTAGAAGTGAACAATTTCCAGGTTATACTAATCAAGGAGTTTTTCTACAATCAAGCCGCCGCCAGTTGTCAAGGGTGAAAAAACAAGTGGGAACACGAGAAGATCATATAAACCAAGAATCACTTGACCAAAACGAAAGTGCGAGAACAAAATCTTATGTAGTTGTAGAAGATAATAGTGACATTGTTTACAAAGGTGTCAACATAACAGAGTGGATAAATCCGTTCACCCGTCTGAACCGACACAAGTCGACAGATCTTAACTTCAGTCACCGAAACTTAACGAAATTTGCGGCATGGGCTCCGGCAGTCGACGGTGCCGCTGCAGCGAGCTCTTATTCCAGCAATCCGTCTTTTACCACAAATATAAATTTAAAACATAATTTGGAATATGAGTTTCCACTTCCCGAGCCCGGCAGGTCAATTCCTTTGAAGCGTCTAGATGAAAACCTGTCTCCGATTTTCCACCAACGATTAAACGCCCAGTTGCAAAACAAAGAACTCATCAACAATGCTGATGAAAAGACTTCAAATACTCACGATTCGACCCTGAGCCAAGACCCTGAGAGATATACGACTCATGGACCACACTTCTACCAACCTGAAACTCGGGTTCGTTTTAGGCATAAGACTCAGCGACCTGAATTGTGGGACCGATATCGAGATGGAAACTCAAGACTTGAATCTCAAGGCCCAGTGAACACAGATACGCAAGACCAAAAGCTCCGCTATACTGGCAGTTATATTGAGAGCAATTCTGACAGCAATATTGGCAGCAACGCTGGCAGAAATACCGGTAGCCACACCGGCAGGGTGCAATCAGCGGAGCTTTACCAGGACGATTACGATTCAGGCGAGCGGCCTCGCAACGACCACAAGGTGTCGACGGTGGCCTTCATGCTCGGCCTTTGGAGTGTCTGCCCGACCCTCAACGTCTCTTCTATCAACATTAGTGAGTTGTTTTGGCAAATTTTTGTTTTTACTGTAGTTCAAATTCTGACTTCCTGAATGAATGCTCATAAAATGTGTAGGCGTATGTGCATTTTTAGTGCAGCGACATTATGATGTAGCGCCGATTAAATTTATTGACGAATATTATTGACAAATTTATTGACGACGATTCATGACGCTATATTTATCAGAATATAGCGCGGATTAAATTTTGAAATGTTGTCTAGATTTGTAACTTTTCTTCCCATTTCAATTGCTGTGATGACATTCGCAGTGCCTGCTTATTGCGTCGCTACTGGAACTAAAATTCCAGCGCGTCCAGATTCAAATTAACTCAATTATAATCACTAATGCCACGGGGCTGAATTTTATATGAATCAAATAACGTTTTATTATTGCTTGTTTGCCTGACGGCATTCGCTATTTATATTGACCCAAAATAAGGCTGGAATTTTCCCCCAACGTCCATTGTTTTTCTGATGAATTAAAATCACGGAGATGCTCTGCTTTGATGCTGGAACGAATGAACTCTGCCCAAATCTGCATGCAAAATAAATGCATTAATTAATCCAGCTTCGTAGCCCCGAGCGGAGAAAAATTATCGAGATACCAAGTAGGGAAGGGCGGTCGTGGATTGCCGCTGTACGCAGAATGGCTCGGACAAGCCCAAATTTGAACGATGTCTTAGTGATGACGTAACTTTGAATCATTATTTGCTTTAATATCCCTTATCGGGATATCAAATATCCCTTATCGAGATGCCCCTTGTCGGGCGTATCCCCAAGATTTGTGCTTCTATTGGCATAGTCTTTGACGTGTTATGGGTGCCCAGAGTTGCTGCTCGGTTTTGCGTGCAGGGCGACGCGTGCAGGGTCCGGTCAAACGCCCTAACAAAGTCCTTATATTCGATCGCCCGCTGAGAATGCTATTAAATGCAGCTATTCGAGCAGCACTTCTTAGCGGTGCAACACTTCGGAGTACTGGTCGCGGATGCAGCTAACCGAACCGGTCGTGTTTTCGCCTGTTATAAGTTCACCGCAATAAACCCCCTGTAATTCCAAACGACTTTTCGATCTTTGAACTGGTTAGCTTCTTTTTACTCATGTTGTTCATTGCATGCACAATAATTTTAAAGTTTATTATTTATATGAACGAGCTTCCGTTACTTGGTCGTGACAAAATATTTTAAAGTTAGTATTTACGAAATTCTTAACTTTTTTTAGAAAAAAGCCTTTGGATAGTTCAAAATGCTACTTCATTTTTAACAACAGATTAAATCTTTCAAATTCAATTTTTTTTAACATTTTATTTTGATCGACATTTTGTAATTTCTGGCTTTGCCTCCGTCAGCTACACCATCTCAAGCATTCGTGTTGTTGCAGTGCTGCTGACACCGCGCTGTGCCAGCGTCAGCTACGTAACGTCGCGTGTCAGCGAGAGGGACTGGGGTTTGCCTGGCCCCACTCCCCTCACCCTCACCGTCGTCGCTAGGATCAGGTTAGGACAATTAACGTCCATCATCCGCTGCACAGCAACATACAATATATGGCCATTCTGTGACACATCCATGTCCTCAGTAACCCAACACAATACGCCAAGATGCTGCGACGAATATTTGTGCACAATAACTCCATAAAACACGCCATGATTATATAAAATATACATGTAGTGATGTAGACAATTACCTTACACAACACGTAATGTTCCTATAAAATGTACATGCACACAATAACCGCACACAACATGCCGTTATCCAATAAAATGTACATGTAGATAATAACCTTATAAAACGCGCCATGTTCCTATAAAATGTACACGCACACAACGACCCAAAATAACATGTCTTGATCCAATGAAATGTACATGCACACAATAACCCCACACAACACGCCATGATCCTGAGACACGCACATGTGCGTTTAAGAAGCATACGCCTGTGAGCACTAATACTTTAGGATTCAATTTGACATGCACATATGGTGCTGCAGAAACCATGAATATTTATGTGGTATATGAGGATAAAAAATCCTTTCCTAATGAATGAAATTATCTATATTGCAATCTTATTAAAATTTGTACGTCATATATATTTCGAACGTTTCCTGATGGATAAGCTCCAGTTCTATAGTTTCAACTTCACGTCGTATTAGTGATAACTTTCATGAGTCTCGATCCTGCATAGATGTTTACTGGTATTTTATAAATTAAATTCTGCCAATTTAAATTTAACGTTCATTCAATTGACTCGTTTAAGCTAACGCTGACGTTTGTATGTGCCCAGAATCAGTACGCCGTTCCTGCTGACATCGTGTGCGCTGTTGGTGTCAGGAACGGTGCTGGCGGTGGTGGGCCGCTGCTGCCAGCGTCAGGCCGCCCTCCTGGCAACGCTCCTCTTCACCCTTGCCGGTAACCTTCCTCCTGGGGCAGGGCAGGCCGTAGTTATTAGTGCAGATCAGGCTTACTAGCGACGCAGGTCAGGCATATTAGTGGCGCAGGTCAGGCATATTAGTGGCGCAGGTCAGGCATATTAGTGGCGCAGGTCAGGCATATTAGTGGCGCAGGTNAGGTCAGGCTTGCTAGCGACGCAGGTCAGGCTTGCTAGCGACGCAGGTCAGGCATACTAGTGACGCGGGTCAGGCATATGATATTAGTGGCGCAATCCAGGTATTTTAGCGAAGCAGGCCAGACATATTAATTAACGGTGCAGGCCACGCATATGTACGATGTAGGCCAGGCAGGCTGACCCAGCTTTGGGCTGGTAGCTCTCCATGTCTGAAAAGGAAATCCCAAGCGGTGCATCGATTGCCGCTTTGCTCGCTGCCTAAAATTTGTATGCAGGTTTTGTCGAGTTGCTGGCATATTCTGCCAACTTCTCGGTCTGCAGGCTGTTCGGAGTTTTTGTGGACGATTCCGCAGCACTGAACTCGAAGTTCTCAATGTAATAACCATTGATAATTTCTGGAATTTGTCGACTGCAGGTAAAAATGCAAATGATATGCAAGTATAATACGAATTTTATAAGCTGTAGATTGAGTACGATTGGTAGTAAGTGAAGGAAGAGAGTTTTGGAATTGAGTGAATGGTTAATTGAGTGGAAGGGTATAAATGATAATTGAAAGTGTGTGTCTGATGATAGGCATAGGTTCCGAATGAAAGTGTAGAATGATGAATGAGAGAGTAATATAATAGAGTAATAGTATGGAGAGTGAATAATGGTTGGCAGGAAATGCACGATGTTGAGGATACAGTTAACGACAATGAGTGGGCGTGAAAGATAGCGCGGGAAAGTTTGAGTGAGCGTATAAAACAGTATGTGAATGAAAGTGGGAAAGATAATGAATGATAGTGCGCTTATAGTGAATATGTGCATTGGAGTGTGATTGACAGTGTGGAGAGAGTGAATGATTTCGGGGGCGTGAGTGAATGATTGAAACGAAGATTGAATATGGGAGATAAAAAATGAAAAATAGTTTGGAAAGTGTGAATGATTGTGGGAAGAAAACGAATGATTATATGGAGAGAGTGGATGCCTATAAGGTAAGGAGTGAATGCCATTGCGGGAAAGAGTGAATGATAATGAGGGGGAGAGTCAATATCAGTGTGAGAGATAGTGAATAACAGCGTTGGATAAAGTGAATGACAGTTTTGGAGAAAGTTAATGTCACTGTGGAACAACGTGAAGGACAAAGTTTTACTGCCATCTCGGTCCACCCAAGTTAAAGGATGGCAAAGTTACTCGCCTAAGTTAGAGCGCCGCTTCTTTCTGGTTTCTTTTCGATTGCTGAGGAGATCTTGAATTGAAGCTCTTCATTCGATCTCTTCAGTTGAAAACATCCTTGATTGGGGATTGAAGCCTCACTGACTTGGGTTCTTCTAGGTCACTGAATCCACGCACAGCATTACATATTTGACAATTTGATTACTAAGACGATATGTATCTCACAAATTTGTTGTTGCATTTGTAAGCAATTAATCAGGTGAGATATGTTTTCTGTATTCGGTAATTTATAACAGTTGTATATTTAACCATATGGAACACTTCGAACACATGACGACTCGCGAACACAATTAGCATATTAGTTTATTTATTACATTTCTCCTCTGTTTTAATCTCGCAAAAGGCGTTCAGTTTATTTTTAATTAAGTACTCGCGAAGCTTCGTTCAAAGTCATGACCGATTCGACGAAGATCTACCGCTGGTGTTTATTGGCCTGCAGTAACCCACATAAAATGTTTAAAGGAGTTTCCACCGAGCACCGACTGGTCAGAGTCGCAGCTAAAATGCACGGAGCCCCTCAGGTGTTCTTTATTCATGGCGACATCTGGACGACGAGAGGGACGAATAGCTCCTCCGCCAGAGGTCCATCAATGGCCGCCATGCGAAGTGTCTTTCTTTACCTGCAACCCTGAAGGCGCGACAACTGAAAGTCCCCAGTACATCTTCAGCACTGAACGCCTGCACGTGAAAGAGATAACAGAAATTCCCAAGCGAATCTGCTCCATTGAACGCCTACATGTGGAAAATAACAGAAATTCCCTAGCAAATATGCTCCACTATAAAGCCTTGTATGTGGAAGGAATTAAACAACAAAAATGCCCTATAGTGAATCTGCTCCAGTGCATGAGCGCCCGTATTTGAAAAAAATATAACTCAGTACTCACTGCAGTGAGTGACAGAGAGCGCATTTTCTCGTCGACGAAAACTTGAGGTCACGGACGGACGGACGGACGGACAGACGGACGGACGGACAGACAGACAGACGGACATGGCGAGCACAATAGTGCATTTTTCCATAAATGAGAAAATGCGCAAAAAATAACAGAAGTGCCCTAGCAAATCTGCTCCACTGAACGCCTGAATGTGAAAAAAAATAACAGAAATGCCCTGGCGAATCTGCTGCGTTGAATGCCTGCAAGTGCCAAAATGCCGCACTGAACGCCAAAATGCGGAAGAGACAACAGAAATTCCTAGCGCATCGACAGGCCTGAGCGCCTAGATAAGGAGAGGACAATAGGAATTTTTCGCAATAGGAAATTCATTATGTACGACAACAATAACACAATTGCGCTCACCAAGTGTCGTCTGCGTTCTCCAATTACTGGTAATGTGTTTTCGTAGTCATTGTCTTGATGGAACTTGCGTTAGGAGGAGGTCGTGAAACAAGTCTCCATCCCCGCACGCATGTGCACCTTGAATGCTCTGAACCTATAAGAAAAATTCCCCTTAACATACCTATCCCCCTGACTTACTTGTAACGCCAGAATGTAAACTAGACAAATAAAATTCCTCCAACACATAAGTAAAGCTGTCACGTGCAGGAGACAAAAAATTCCTCCTACGAATCCTTAAAACTCCTGCGTGTGAAAGAGCAATGCACAGCAGCACTGCAAGGCCATGGACAATTGTGTATTGTGCTGTCAGAGTGCGGAATCATTTCGTTCTTAAATATTCATACTTGGCAATTCAAGCCTGTAAAATAGAATTCACTTCTACTGAGGTATTATCTCTTAGGCTGTAAGTGCAATGCATAAAAATGCTATACGGGTGGCTAGTTTCAGGCATAAAAGTAATTAGCTTTCGGTCTGATTCATTTATCTATTCATTCAGAGTACTCAATTCACGTCTCTTGAATGGCTTCATATGTTCATGGGCACAGCTCTGAACTGACTGCTATGCGCACGAATCCTCTTTTCCCTTCACTTGGGAGTTGTTCCAATATTTATGACGAATTGAGTGCCTCAATAATCCTATTACCTGCTTCATGGGGCTTTAGTGCAAGGTGTTATCCCGGAGTCCAGATACGCATTCACTGGTCGTTCACAAAAGCATCATAATTTATTAAAGTTTTTATTCTGAATTTTCGTTGCAGCTTTTAATCGTACTTCTGACTGCAAGTAAAACGGTAATAAAATGCAAGAAAAATCTGAAAAGACCGGAAGAGTTAATGAACTCAGCGTTTTGTTTCAATAAAAAGAGCAGTTTGAAATTCAATTTAGTTTTCAAGTCGAATTTGTGTCTCCAATTTATTGGAGCCGGAAATCGAATAATAATAACTATACAGTGTCAATTTAAAATAAAACCTTGAAGTTTCTGCCTCATTAGAGAATCGTCCCTAGAATTTTCCTCAATCAGGAACCATACTGCACATTTCATCAATCTAATATCTACAATTAATACTTACCTAAAACTGCTGAATAGAAAACTCGCGCGGTGGTGCATCTCTGAGAGATAATTTTGCTGATGTTGCGCCTGCTCCTCGAAACGTGCGCTGCATTCTAATGGGCGTCCATCGGCCTAAGTGTCCTCAAAAATCGTTAGTATGCAACATTTACTGCACATTTCCAAGCGCCAATATTATTTCCTTCTCTTTCTGGGAGATGCATAATGCCCTGCACAATTTTCTCAGTTTTAATTGATAGAGACTGTTACAAGCTTTATTCTCCCCGCGTTTAATTTGCGTTCGTTTCCAATGGTTTAATTTTTGCGTTTGTTGCTATTTCTATCCAGTTCATAAGTTTAAATATTGAATTAATTCCGACTTGCGATCATCAACAACTTCACTATCAAAACCCAATTGGAGCAGGGATGTTATTGATACATTCTCAATGGCGCTCGGGACAAATGCACACTAAAAGTATACTGTTCTTATTCGATCATGCCGCGACGCGTAAAATTATGTATTTTTAAAATAGTTTCATTCATAATATCGATACTCATATACATAATCAACGCTTCGAGATCAGACCTTTCAAGCATGATATTATTGGACGTGAAAGATACATGCAATGAAAAATACACAATTTATTTGAATGTTCTTCTCATTGAATAATTAGAAATAGACTAGATCTGGCTAAAAAGTTGACGCAATTCCCACTACTGTATGCCAACAGTCAGCAACTATCATACGGTAGCAAACGAATTATTTTTACTGTATTCGTGTTTCTTCTTTCATCATCTCTGAATGAACATTTCGACAGATTCGATACCCCTCTTATTGAGAAATCATGGATGGAATACACATGGGTAATCAATGCTTTATTCAACAAATGCCCACATATTTGGAAGAATTGTAACCGATATTAAATATTTATAAGTGCAACACAGAACAATAAAACAGAAATAATATCATGGTATCATAGTGATGTCTGAGCTGAAGAGTAGGCCTGATGTGGCTTGACGCCGATTCTTGTACTTTTCGTGACTTAGTTCACATGAGATCTAAAAACAGGTCCTTTTACCGGATCTTTTCAAAGTTGATAGTTTGAAATAGCTACTAGACTTCCACCGGGTTCGATATGATGCCAGGCATTTCAGGTCTGAACATATATTTTTTAGTAGTTTTACCTGGTCTGTTCTTAAATGCGTTCATACTTGGAGCGTCAATGATGTAATCAGGAAGGCTGTTCCACATGTCGGTGACTCGAAGCGAGAAGAGGTATTTGTAGTTGCAATGCAGTTTTTTAGTTTATAAAGTTACGGAAGCTATTTATAAGGGCGTGTAACTAAAGTTTTGAATGCTACGGAATAGTGCATTTACACTGCTAAGCAGCTTTAATTAGGCCTTTCAGAGTCAGTTCAAGAGCGGCTGCACTGCTGGTCGTAACTTATGAGCAGCGTTCACAGCGCGGGCACTCAGGGCGGGTAACTCGGCGCGCTGCTCATGCCGCCATGCAAGTTAGGCGACGTCTCGTCGCCGATGCGGTGGCTCATACTGGGTGCACTGGAGACAAATTTCACTCGCGGATCCTGAGCTAGAACTTGGATTGATGATATATCCGACTGATTATAGATCCAAAACAGGACATTTGACCGGATCTTTTCAAAAATGACGGTAGTTTGAAATACGTACTAGACTTCCACCAAGTAACTTCTGTCCCAGACTTCTAACATCGCTAACATTGTATCATTAACACTTCATGGATATCAAATGAGCTAATAGAAAAATTGATGCATTGCAAGCAATTTGAGTAGAGAATTACTCAAGTGTAGTATACCTGAAGCAACATTCAACTTCGTAGGCCTTTATACATTCGGAAAGATTATTAATATTACGTCAAAGCTGTGATTTTATTCATCATAACTGATCACTAAGTCTCCGCTTGACTGTTTTTGTTCTGCTCACATTTTCACATTTTAAACATAAGCCTCTTATTCAAAACAATCATTTTTGGAAGAATCGTATACACTGTACTCTCATTGTGCATATATGCTTACCGTGCTAACACCAGTGAGCACCCATAGCTCTGCTTTGTTTCTGTAACTGTGCAAAGATTCCATTTCGTAAAGCAGTGACGTCCTCTTAAAATAGTTAAAAATCAATTCATTAAATTTTGAAACTTCACTCACGGTGCATCGTAGAATATTTGATTGTTACATTAATGTATCGAAATTATTGGAAGCTATGTCTGAGCACTGTTTGAGGTCGAATGATTAAATTAACCATATTATTGCAGGTCTGAGCACCGGCGTGGCGGTGGTTTGGTTCCTGTCGGTGATTACTGAGGAGTTCGTGGCAACGGCGCGTCAAGGCACCGCCTGGTCCAGCCACTACTCTTTCAGGTACGGCTGGTCGCTGCTCAGCGCTGCCGCCTCAGCAGGAGCATCATTCTTGGCCGCCCTCTTCACTGGACACGCTCACATGGCCAATTTCGCACCTTGGCATCAAGAAAAACTTTCCGGAAGCGGAGACGAACAAAGCACTGGAAGAACCATGATGATGAAGTGTCGAAGTGAAAGTCACATAGGGAGCGGGCGGTCGTTTACTTCGGACACGATTCGCACCTACCTTACGAACGATTCTAGGAGACAGCTTCGTAGTCAGTCGTCTTCTCAAGGCTGCTTCATCGGTACCACGTCGTCACAGAGTTTCAATGATTCGTCGTCTCTTGTTGACCTCACCAAGCCTAGCAGCAACGACACAATTAACGAGCAAGACATTCAAGACAATGCGATCGAAGTCGCACCTCCGTCACTTCACTGCTCGCGACACGAAACGCCAGCCAGAAGCTCACAATTCCCTTCCGCGGGCACCATTCCTCTCTGCCCAGAGTACGTCAACGCAGAGGAGTTTCAAGTCACCAGCGCGGACACATCTGATATCGATACTGACCACAACACAGTGTATCAAAATACCATTGAAGCACTCCAGCGACAAACATCCTTACAGGTTTCTTCACATCGTGACACAAGTTCTGATAACCAAGTAGATGGATCCTTAACCCTCGCCAACGATCCTTCCAATTATTCTGACTTCAATTCGACTAATTCTTCTCCACCTGTCGATGATGGTGACAATCTTCCATCCCCTCCCGCCGTTGCTTCCACGTCTATGTTCGTATCGAGGACGCTCCCCCGACGATTATTTTCCAACAGTCCCGGGCTTCCTATGACCAACTCGTTCAACGAGCAACACCTCAATCATGACGACCAGGATAACGGATCTCTGGAGAGTTCCTTCACTGAAGTTGAACCTCCAGATCTTTTCAACTCGAAAAAGAAGCCCGACAGGATGAATTTCAGCAATACGTTGCCACATGGAGGCAAACATGTCGCGGTCTACAGTAAGAGAGGCAACGTGAGGGCAGCCACCCTGACCGACGGATCAGCATATCATTTAACACATGTTTAGACTTACTTCTCCCAGTCTCTTTGTGCGCCTATGTGGAGCTGGTAGCCATTCATTATCTCGTATTTATGTATCAATGTATTTTTACAATTATTTGAAAGTGATGATAATAAGTGAATGCAAGTTTTTGTAATTTTTATTAAATGAGAGCATCATCTTCAGTTGTCCATATGTGAATAGAGAATAAATTCAAATCGTAATTATTAGTTCACACTTTCATATTTTAGTAATGTGAACCATACTATACAGCATAATATTTGGTCGTACTACAACCTAGAACAATCTGAGTTCCTCAAAATTCAATAAATCAGTTCCTATTCAAACAATTTCAAATTTGTTTGAATTTAGATTTAAAACCAATAATATATCAGCTTAGACCATTTAACCTTAGAAAAAAAAACAATAATAAGAATGGTAAACTGTAAGCTTGTATATTATTCCTGTGCCTGTTTCTCTCGCGTGAAGAAAATCTTGCTATAGTGAAGAAGTTTAAGGCAGGGAGATGCTTCATGCACCACAAGCCTAAACACAACAATAAAAATATAACTCGGTACTCACTGCAGTGAGTGACAGAGAGCGCATTTTCTCGTCGACGAAAACGTGAAGTCACGGACGGACAAACAGACGGGCGGACAGATGGAGGCATACAATAGGGCATTTTTTCCAGAAATGAGGAAATGCGCTAACAAAATACATAATGAACTGAAGTTTGTGATTCGAACCCAGTGCAAAGAAGTCATTTTCTACGCGGCCGCTATGCAAAACATTCATACCCTGCTTAATTAAACATATAAACCAGATGGCGGTTTGTGGTGGGAAAACAACAAAAGTTTCTATGAGGAGAGCAATTCATATTAAACAAAAATGGATATACATAGGTCATTTAATAATTAAAATATGCATGCAAATTATATGTTTTGATCGCCAGTTCCTGCAGTGCGTGTCACTACAGCTACCTTCGCCCCCCTAATCACCTCATGCGGGACATGCATTAATGACTTCACACCTGGAAGGAGCTCCACGGAGAAATAGCCGCCGGAGCTCTAAGGCCTGTTTGTTAATTTAGTTCTTTCCCTGAACCTTTAAGATCATTAAGATCTTAACCACACAAGTAGGGCTGCATTTGAAGTTAATGGTTTGTGCCGCGGACTTGAGCTTGGAAACACAATCTTTGGAGATTGTGTTCCATTGAAAGATTTTATAGAATAGAATAGAAGTGTCGGCATTGAAGAAATAGGCCCATGGTCTGTTGCCGATTCTTGAACTTTTCGTGACTTGATTCCCAAGGGATCCGGCCTTTGGATCCCGATCTTTCCATAACTGACGATTGATTGAGTTAGCTGCTGGACTTATTGCCTGCTGGACTTCCTAATCGAAGTGTTTCGACTGAAAATAAATTTTTTTGAAAAATTGACGAGGCAAAGTCGTTAAAACGCCGCTTAATTTCCGGGACATCAGCATTAAACAAGCGCAGCTATCACAGGAATTTCATCCGGCAATAATGCTGTAGAAAGGTGAAACAATACACTTTTACAAGACTATGGATAATATGATGAGATACAATTTAGGTAAAATAATAAAGTTCAGATTCTAATGTCGTAAGCAATCTGCTGTGCTCGAGGGATCCGCTAATTTTATAGACGAGAAGAAGGCTCTTATAAGACGACGATTTTTCAAACATTTACTCAGACGTATCAGCTTTCAAGAAACATCAATTAAAAATGTTGACCTGCAAGTCGCAACTGCAACCACAATTTTCTACCGGGAAAGATTTTGGAGATATGAAATATCTGGATACGTTAGTAAAAGTTTTAGTCTAGTGTTTACATTACTAAGTTCCCACAATTTGTCTTCCAAATCAATTTCTGTATTCCTAAGAACTTTTTCAAATACGATAGACTATGGGTTATAATTTATTAACTAGTGCAGGCACCTGTCGGACAAAAACGCGGCCTGTTTCACGACCGGTCTCACGGCCGTGCCTCAAGAAATTACCCAATCGACAATTCTACGGACCAGCCTGCGAACTCGCCAGCGGACTCGCGCAACTGGGACACTCATAATTCCTTCAATATTAACGGATCTATATGAATTTTGGAATGTGAGTATTAATTATTGATACGCTGCCGCAGGAATTATTGCAGATTTTTACATGACTTATTTTTTAATTAAAACCAATAAACGTATTTTTTAAGCAACTGGGACACTCATAATTCCTTCAATACTCAACGGATCTGCTCGAATTTTGGAATGTGAGTATTAATTATCGATACGCTGCCGCAGGAATTATTACAGATTTTTACATGAATTATATCCTAACCTAACCTAACCTAACCCAACCTAACCTAACCCAATAATAAGTCATGTAAAAATCTGTAATAATTCCTGCGGCAGCGTATCGATAATTAATACTCACATTCCAAAATTCATACAGACCCGTTAAGTATTGAAGGAATTATGAGTGTCCCAGTTGCTTAAAAAATGCGTTTATTGGTTTTAATTAAAAAATAATTTATGTAAAAATCTGAAATAATTCCTGCGGCAGCGTATCGATAATTAATACTCACATTCCAAAATTCATATAGATCCGTTAAGTATTGAAGGAATTATGAGTCTCCCAGTTGCGCGAGTCCGTTGGCGAGTTCGCAGGCGGGTCCGTAGAATTGTCGATGGAGTCAAGAAATTCATCGTGACAGGTAGTGCAGGCACAAAAATTTTGGGAAACGCTATATAAATCATACAAAACCTGCTTATAGATTATTGTTAAACAATTTTGACGATAGTTTACCTTGATACTTACAAAAATTATTTAGATATGGAACCCACACGCTATACTTTGCTCGCAGAATTTAAGCCTCTAAAAGTCAGTGAACTGTTTGAAGGCCCTAATCATTCTGATTAAAACCATTATTATCATCAGGTTATTAGTATATAAGTAGAATGTTCTTATTGATTAGCGTTTCAAGTTTGAATATAGATTAAGTAGAGAGTCATCGATATTAATGTAATTGATTAAAATTTCGTAATAAATATATACTATAGGAATATTATTGGTCTACTCTATTTGAATATTTTATTGCTCATTCAAGCTAGGAGTTTAGCAAATTTTAGGTTATATTACAAACTCGATTAAATTTTTTGCAAACCATGATTGCTCGGTGTATTAAAGATCTAACACGGATGGAGATCAACCTAATTCCGCAATGTAGGATGCAATGTTTACATCAAAACATTTTGCAACTTCGCAGTTACAAAATCACTGTGACTCATTGAATGTACGTTATGTAGGCTATCTGAATTCTGAAGGGTTGCGGACATCGGTTTTGGTGAGAAGAGGTCATCGGAAGTAACGCTCTCGAAAATTTTTGTATAAGCATTAGCCATTAGCTGATTATTTCATTCAATCAGGAACTTGGGACGGGGTGGGAGTAGACGTAGTAAAAACAAGAACTTGTCTTTCTGCTTCTTTCATCTGGATTGTGCATTCTGCTTCTGGTAGATATGTCTGAATAAGTCTGAACCCCCAGTCCCTCACCCTCAATTTGGAGTCAGTAGGCTGTACTGCAGGACTCAGGACTGGAAACGTCTTTTTTTTCTGAAATATCTCGGCTCTAATATCATATAGGTAATTTCAGTAGGTATGAAATCTCGTGGTCGTGGCTCTAATGTCATAAATTTTTGTTTGATTGAAAAATTGCGGTTTGCACTTCACAAACATGTCGTTTAATAAAATTTTCAACTGTTGCAATCCATGGCATGGTGGTTTTTGAGCAAATCCTTGGGCATTTAGCCCCAGCACTCCAGCAGGCACTCCGCAGGCACTGTGGCGCTCCGAAGCAGAAAAAACCTAGATCTAGGTTTTTTTGCTTCCCACTAGGGTAAACGCGGTATATTCCGACATCGTAGGTAATTCCGTCACCTCTCCAGCTTTTCCTTTATATTAAGCTTTGTTTTAGTTCCATGCGTTCATTGATGGTTGAAATGGTGACGTCATACATTTGCGTGTCCATGTCGAAATACTGCAAAAACACTAGGTCTTGGCCATCTAGTGGGAAAATATTGAGATCCAAAGAGAGACAATGCATGCCACGTGGTGAGATCATCGAAAAATGTGTCAAATTTGACAGTTGACATATATGGCAACATTTTGTGACGTTTCATCGTTGCTGACGCGTAGTGAAGTGTTTTGAGAGTCATGTGAAGGCAACAGAACTTACGTAACGCATACGTTTTTTTTATAGTTTTTCATTTCTCGATGCGTCCTTAATGTGTCGGAATATACCGCGTTTACCCTAGGTTTCTAGGTTTTTCATTAACAAACTGATCCTAATCTAATTTTCTTCAGAATGGTGCACTGAAAGCAGAAATCAGTCAACAGTTATAGCCAAGAAAGGGAGAACTGCTACGAGACTTACGCGATGGAGCCATTTACAGGAGATATGAAAGTAGATTACTTGATGCAACTATTCAGGAATGATCACGATTCACGAATAAATATTACTTACTAAGTTAGTAAAGTTACTATGCTCATAAAATGACAACTAGCTTAGTCAGTTATCACTTATCATTAATCCACTTGAGGAGAAACTGGAGATCGGAGTAAGAACAGCACTTAGCAGTCAACGCACTTCAAAACTGTTACAATTTACGTGAATTAATTACGCGCCAGTCGTGGACTATAGATGTAACGGACTATAAACAAAGGACAATAAGGTAGACAACACTTAAAAGAATTTTGCACACGTTAAAAGGGTTGAAAGCCTTAAATTCAGTTGCAAGCCTTAAATTTACATTAATATTTTTGCTTTCAAAACATACATTTTATCTCCTATGTATATTGATTATCGGCTGCCATTCTGCAACAAAATAATGTGTCAATCAATCTAAATAGTCATGGCAACAACTCATTGCTATTTAAATTAAAAATTCATTAAGCAATTCAAGTGCTTTTTTCCTTCCTAATTTTTATTTGTTCATAATTCTCTCGCTTAATAATTTTATCACAACAATTATACCCTTGACTTAAGGTTTGTTTGAAGAACTTCAAAAGGCGATGTAGAGGAAATTCTGGTAAATTTTAGTAGACCGAATTGACAGTTCTGAGACAAATTTCCACTGAAAATGTTCCACGTATACTTTTTTTAAATTGAAACCAATCTTGACCTAATAAAATGAAGGGTAGTTTTTTTCGATATTATTCAAACTTCGAAGTAGTTCCCTTTGATATTATTTAGCAAATTATGGCTACTTTTTACCATCTGCGCAAGCACAAGTTTGCCAAATTAAAACAACAAGGAGATAATTAACAACTAAATTATAGATTGATGTTATCATTTTTTGTGCGTTGTTATAATTTTTTCATCGTTTGATTTCATTTAGCTCGTTGAAAGTTAATTTTCAGCTCCCTTACAGATTAGAAGCCAATTAAAACAAAGCTATTTATTGGCATCTAAATAAGTATTGGGAAGTA